CGACTGCGTCAATAGGTGGGCGGCTAGAACAGAACGGACAGCGAAATTACACGTCATAGAATAAACTCATAAACGGTATATATGTCAAGTGTACAATAATCTAGTACAAATGTGTCTTAAAAGTGTTATCGTTACACTTTGGTTGATTGGTAGCTTTTCTATCCTATTAACATTATAAACTAAATTTTCATCCTCGGCTTTGTCCGTTTGAATTAGGATAAAAGCCATATAGATTGAAAAAGAATTATTAATATTAATTCAGAATAAGTAGCTAATGTAATCGCAAACGTAACATTGTCGTTATAAAAAAAATCAGATGAATTGAGTATCTTAATTTAATTATAATAAGTTTCTCAATTCATCTGAAATTTTAATCGAGACCGTTTAAAAGTAGTTAGTCTATTAGTACATAAAATATTTTTATACTGTCAAAACTGCATACTACAACTAGTTTATAATATTAATATGTTATGAAATTTTATAAAAGTATTTTAGTATTAATTCATATAAGATCCAATATCTTTACAAACTTTCACATTAATAATATTAGTAGGACGATGAAAGTGAGTTTGTTTACCTCTTTTTTGACGCCTACCGCTTTAAGTAATCGTAATGAAACATTAACATGTACTCGTGTACCCATGCATGTTATGTATTTGATACGAAAAATAACATCAGTCTATTTTTTATCTCAGTCAATCATGATGTCTCTATTACGTGGACGAAATCGCTCGTTAAGCTAATAGTGAATAAAAAACATCTGTACTCTTCTACAAAATAATGATTTGCAGATTTTAATAAAATGTTTTTATAAACGCCATGAATAGAAAATTACATTAATTGTCAATAACTATAATACAATGTGCCTGAAAAAAAAGGCAATAAGTAACTTATTACAGTTTTATTTTGTCTGTTTATAATTGAAAAATTAATGCCTAATATGACATTTTATTGTTCACATAATTTCCGTTAAATTGTAAAAATAATAATGTAAAAATTGTTTCAACTTACCAAAATCATAGCTACGCGTGCAAAGCTGCGGGCTGAAGCTAGTATCAGATAAATATCTTTATCAAATATCGAAAGAAGAATTTCAAATTATATAGAAACTCCAATTATGAGTGGATGACACTTTTACACGTTATGCCAATTCCAATTACAGAAAAGCAAATGTTTATGTTCTCAGTTTACTAAACACGCAACCAGTAACTGGCGATGATCAAAACGTGACACGTAGACTAATACAATTAAAATGTTATTCTCCACTAACTCAACACTATCTCCATTTCTACATTTTCATTAGCAAATATGCAGTGTAAATTGGGTATTAGAAGTAAAATTGTTTGAGTATATATAAGCTACTAGCGAACTACCCTACCTTCGCTTATTTAGATAGAAAGATAACTTAGTAATTTACATTAGCTTTACAAGTAAATTTTTAAACTTGTTTATTATTTGTAGTTTTGGTAGAATTTTCTGATTGTTTTTTAAATAATAGCGTGTGTTACTCTGATGATGTAGCTTTCTTTACGTATAATAAGGATGTTTAAAATCGGTTAAGTAGTTTTTTAGTTTATCCATTACAAATATGGACTACCGATACACCTCGGGTTTGCACTGATAGAGGTACAGAAATTAATTAGGAAATTGTAAAAGAAAAATAAAGGTCATATTCGCTGATAACGGAATTTTCTATAGGTTTAAGAATGTTTATCTATTATGAACAAAAATGAAATCTCTATTTGTTTGGATAACAGTTTAAATCATACTCGTATATGATACGGCGCACCTTTAATTAAATGTCAATCTAACTAAAAATATTAGTAATATGAGTTATAGTGAAACATTTACCTAAAAATCCTACTTATACTCACTCTAATATAAGGTTATAAGGAAAATAAATGTTTTTCCTATGTAGGCAGTGAAAATATAATAATATAATAATTAGTCCACTATTTCGGCACTGGCTATCTTGGCATTTATTTCAGCTTTTCCTTGCATTAGTTTTTGTATATTATGATTGATTTCCTTAGTTACTTCTTACGACATTCTGGAGATGAAAAAGAATGGTAATATTTATTATTATTACATTCTTATTCCATCACCACACATCACATTATGAGAGTTAATACATATAGAGCTCGCATATTTACTTATAAATTAAAACTAAATTAATTATTGATAAACGTCATTTACATTCGATTAACAATAAGTAAATATTTATTGATATCAACAGTAACAACTTAAGATATTTTGTATCTTCTCTATTGTTCTTATATATATATTGATATTTCTATATTAACATAGTTCTTTCAAATAAATGAAAACATTTTCATATAAAATTTAAATAATGCTTCATTTGATTCATGGCTATAATTTTGGGCAAACAATTTAACTCATATAGTTCCAAATTAAGCAGAATTTATACATTATGAGTTCTACTTAATTTAGAACTAGATGACTCTTTAGATAAATTATATATTTGTTTATTTTTCTAAGACCTGTACAAGTAGGTATATAATATATTTACTTTTAGTATTCAGGCACATGATTTACAAGTGTAATAATATTTAATTTACACATACAAATATTTTTCATTTTCCATTTTTAGCGACATTGCTAGCTAATATATTTTTCTGTAGATTTAGGACACTAAGCTGTCGAGCTCAAAACTAATGAGCATTGTTCAAATAGTGATAACAAACTTAAATTCAGTTGACGCGTACCCCAATTAGAGTAATAGAAGGTTGTATTGAACGTTAGGTAAACAATCAACAGGTGATTTCAAAGGCTTGCCAGGAAGGTCGCTTACCTAGGCACGTACATGCGTTTTGATGATATGTGACTCACGTTTGCGAATTGGACACATGACCAGAGGAAAGGTCACCAAATATCGATTTTCGTAGTGCATTCTATGCCTGACGTTAGTTAATATTTCAATAGAGTGTTAGCTAGGAGATTGCAAAAATAAACTTGCATTTAATAATTATAATAAAGTAAATTAAAAATTGAAAAAAGTGTTATGAAGTAATTGTGTTTCTTTTTATGTGATGATTAACTCATGAAATGAAGGTGTTAAAACGGTTGTCAGTTTTTTTAAACAATAGGCAATTAGTTTCTATATATAAGAAAGTAGGTAAGTCAGAAAGTGATAATAATATATCATATATTTTTAAATGAAAAATATTTTGAGTATGTGTGCTTATGATCCCTTGATTAGTTAATTTTTAATATAATTTTTAAAAACCCAAGGGTAGTATTCTAAATAGTAAAATATTTATAATAGTCGAGTTTTGTGTGTAAAATATATTATTTTATTGAATTTAATTAAAACAAACAGAATAAATTTATTTGTCCAGTTCCATATTTTTATTTTAGATTTCACATCTGAATAAGTAAACACGTATATTTTATTTATTTTCTTTTGGGATATTTAATTCATTTTTTTTTTGGTTCCGTGCATATGAGTTCAAAATATAGTATTTACTTATATGCTTATTCTGAGTACATAATAAATAAGATTTTATCATAATGATAATGGTGCTTAGGTTCACTTTATGTCAGTATTTACGTACGCAATAATCATAGTGTTATTCCATTGTGACGTGATACCAATGTCTCAACAAACTTATTTACATTGCGTACCAAATTCGTGTTGTGAATTCAAAATAAAGTTTGAACAAAATATCTTAGATCTAATGTTAAATTAGTTCCATATTAATTTAATGACGATTAAAGCTGCCGTTTTCTTTGTGGAACTTAAAATGTTTCTTGCTAAGCTAAATATGCTCTTGTAAACATATTTAGTATTTATTCAAATAATTTCATTTTAATAAATGTTTGAATATATAACTTGTTATTCATCGATGTATGTTCACAATTACAATACACTTTTTTATTGAGAAGAAAAATGCATTTATTATCATTTTTATTGATACTTGTTATTACATTAAATTACTTTTTTTTTTCAATTTACATATTAATTTGGAGGAATAGATAAGACATTGGTTTCACCCGTGGCAATTGGTGAGCATTAGAGTTTAGAGAAATACATATACATATATATTGAATTTAGAATATAAGAGAACAAATAAATACTACAAAACAAACTATGCTTCGTTTAACCGCTATATATTTCTTTATTTAATTAATAATCATTATTAGTAATTTTGTTATATTTCACTATGTTCAGATTTTAAATGATTTTTCTACGTTCAGATTATTTTATTTTTGTCTAAAAATGCTTTAAAAAATTTGCTTTCATTACTCCATATACTTTATTTGTTTTTTTTTTTAAAACCTTTAATTTCTTGTAACGTTGACATATCATTGACGAGCGATGGATATTGTATGTTTATTCATTGTTGTATCGTCGTTTTATATTTCACGAATTGTTTATTCGATTTATTATAAATATTTTAATTATTTTGTTAATGGCATTTCGATTATTTGCATGTTGTGATTGGTAGGACGCTAGTGTACCAGGTAAAATGTGTATGGAGAACTATGAGGTTGGAATATAGATTATTTATCATCGAATATAAGATTGTGTCCCACAAAAAGAATCGACTTCAGTTGTGGCGATACCAGTTATTTTCATCTAGAAATTAAACTACTAAACCGATTTGGAAAAAAAATCTATGGGACCAATCTGTAAGGATATCCTTTTAGATGAAAAAAGAATTTTCCAAATCAATTTAGATCTGACACAAAGTAGATTAAAAAGTTAACGAAGGGCAAGATAGGAGCTTCTCTAGCTTCCCCACAAGAGGAAATACAATCGAATCCTAGTTTTTTTTTATTTAATCAAATTTTAAAAATCATCAAATCTACTATCAACCATTTAGTATTGAGCAAAGACGCCTATGTGAATTTTTTTTTTGCATCGAGGAAGAGAGGACATTTTGTCTCAATCAAAGCCCCTGTTTTGTTTGGAAATAAAATATTAAAGCGTACAGACAATTATCCTAATGTTTAATGTATTTTCTTTATTGTTTCAGGTCTACAGTTGCGGAGCATAGAGGAGCCGGCAGGTGGCGCGGGCGGCGGCATGCCCGCGACCACCTGCTACGATGCTGAATGTGCGCGCACAGAAGCCTGGCTCGATGAGAATCAGGAATTTGTACACGATTATTTTTTAAGGTAAGATACTTTGAGATAATTTACACCAGAACAATGAAAAGATATGCACAAAACACGTTTGCTCTCTACCATATTTGTATAGTCGCTTTGTATAAGTCTTTTTTTACTAAAACATTTGTCCTATTCGTGTTTCTGCCGCCAAGCAGCTGTGCTCACATGGATCGAAATATAGCGGTTTGAAGGGTGGGGTGTTATAGAGAAATGACAGGGTATGGAAACATAACACCTTAAATCTCAGGATTGGTATGAGAAATACCTTTGACGTTCTAGTGTAGTATAATGGTTCTTGGTGCTATTTTTATCTTTTTATAGGCGATGATTACTACTTTTCATCAGGTGGAAATAAAATTAAGTATAGACTCCACGGTTAATGTAAAGCACTTTTAAAACAATTGCAGTAAAAAATATTTTATATTGTCTGTGTAATTTTAATTTAATAGTACAGATTATTGTAAGAATAATCACAGTGCTATAATATTAAATTGAAATTATAATGTTAGAGACAGAGAATGGTGTTTCAGAATCAACTCTATTGCGCGAATTAGGATATAGCTTTGTGTACCAAATTTTTTAGAAATTCGTTCACTCGTTAAGCATAATTATAACATTATTTATACAGTGGCGTAATTAAGAATCCAAATATATTTAATTTTAATGCTTTATTTGCATTACGAGTATACTACATAGACTACAATATAGTGGCCTTACTGCTAAAAGCATTAGAAACATGGAAGTACAAAATTTTAATAATTTCAATACAATTCCAATTTTAGTGATTCCCCTTTTGTGTTCGACTACATTAATATTGGAACATATTCGTTCGTGTAATTTATATTACATAGTTGATATTTATACAAACGGTCTCATCCGACCTTGGGCTTTTCAAATATGGAATTTCTAGGTCTTATACAAACCATTCGAGTCTATACTAGAAGTCTTTGCTATAATACATATATTTAACAATGTCAACATAATAACATATTTTTGCGTCGGGGCATTGAAACGTTTTGTATGTTGTTTATATTTTTATAAAATTATTGTCATCGCAATTTCGGCTGTCTGACGGGACATATTTATTGAACAGGATTAGTTTATATTCTCCATTCAAAATAATGGCTTTATGCAAAATTTTATGAGGAATGGGTAAATTGTTAAGGCACCGAGTGGTAACACTCAAATTCACTTTCGCTTTTATTAAATTACATACATTTATTGCATTACAAGGTACAGAGGCGTAACACTTTTAGAAATGGCAACACATAGGGTGTTTTATCGTTGACACTCCATACTTTGTTATGTTCATGTCTATAGGTAACGATTATCACTTTTCATCAAGTTAGCTGTCAGCTTGTATGCCACTCTAAATTGTACAAAAAAAATACAAATATATGTAACGAGCGAGGATAAATAGAGGTCTTGGTAAAGCTATAGTATATGATCATACTCGGAGGTATACATAATATGTTATCAACCAAAATAAATTATGTGCTTTAAAGGGGTAAGTAAAAAATACTCGTAACCAGCAAAGATTGATGAATGTAGAAGTAAATGAAAGAGGTCTCTTTGAATCGGAAAGCTTTATTGTTTTTGGTTACCCATGGGAGCTACATGTCGTGTGTATATTTTGCGATATGTTGAAAAAACCATTGACAATAAAGCTTATGTAAAAGATGTTTTTTACATAAAATTGCGATGAAGGTAGTAAGTGTTAAAAATGTCTTGAAGTTATTTGCCGTTATCTATATGTATAACATATAAACAGATCTAGGCTGAAGATAACGTAAAATCTAAACCAATAAAAATATTAAATTTCGCACAGAAATTCCTTAGTGACCTGGCGTTTTCATACATATATACAATAAAATTTAAATCGTTATAAATATTTAAAACTAATGATATATCCATGCTATAGCATATATTTGAACAGAAATTTCATGAGTAAAAAATTTTGAAACGACAAATTCAAAATTCTTATAATAATTAAATATTTGGACGTGGGGCGTTAGTATACTCCTACAGAAGGCTCTAAATTTTGTATGCTTTTTTTACCTATATTTCTTTCTTAGTTGGATGCTAACAATTTAGATTTCATTCTGTATACATTACTAGTGATCCGGCCCAGCTTATCACGGATAGACAAAATATTTTAAAATAATGTATAGTCAATGTTACTCGCTGATATTGCAGCTTTTTATAAGAGATAGAATTTTTAAAATGGGTTGAATACTTTTTGAGTTTATCCATTACAAACAATTAAATCTTTCCTCTTTATAATGTTAGTACAGAAATATGTCGATTATTAGTCAACATTAATCTATAATAGTAACTAGTCTGTTACCTTAGAAAAGTGCTGAATGTAATAATCTATTGATATATCGAAATAGTGATAAATTATTCAATTAGAATGAGACAGCGTTATCCTTTGTCTTTTTCTTTCCTATGAGAGCGCTAGCTGATTCTATTCTATTGATAGACTGGCTTACCACTTAGGGGCTGATTTGATTGTCTTTAATCAGAATTTTGATCCATATATCAGTATTTGTAATTGTCGATTCGTTTACTCGATAGATTTTGTGTGTTCATGCTGAATTTCAGTAAACAAAGCGAGTTACGTTAGTTTTGTCTGTTGGACAAATAATAACATATGTCAATTACAACAGTGGAAACGAAAATATTTGCTTTAGAGATTGGAATTTAACATGGTACAGTAAACCTTTAGTATAATACTATAGTGTATAACATTCTTTATCTATTCGTTTATCTATGCGTTTATTGTAAAAATTGTAAATTTCTTTTGTTTGCAATTTTATAATTTATATAAGCCTAATCTATATTAGACAAGTTTTTAATTGATTTATATGTGACTGGTATAATACTACTAATTGTTTATTAGTTCCTCTATTCATAGCTTACTGCTTTGTCGACTGATCATGGTACCTTCATAGGTGACAGGCTATTTGTAACACAACGAACGGTCTTCATCTTGAACCACCTACATCCATCTACTTAATTAAATTACATTTGATTTTTTTTTTTAAGGAAGTTCACCGTACATTGTGCCACCATTTGAGATCGTTTGTTATTCATCAATTATTATAATTTAAACAAGTGTTAAATAATATAATTATTAACCTTATTAAATAGATCAGCCATGATAGAGACCTTTATATAGGTAGTGTAGAAACTTTTGTTACCAGAGAGTAACCTTCTGAGACGAGTAGTAGTAGTATAAATAGATATATACGTATAGGTGATAATGTACTCATTTTATACTCAATGACGTTTTATATAGTCTACACAGGTTACTGGCTTAATCAGTAGCAGACATCTCTGTCATCAATTCCATGGCAATGTGCCCACTTCCAAATGTATTCGATACAATAGACACACACATATTGTCCGATAAAATATCTAATTACTCTTAGTTGCTGAAATTGTACTTTGAAACTTTATGACGTACGAAATATCACGAAAATTTGGAAACGCTTACCAGTATTTGGTTCGTATGCCTGGATTACTTTTGTATTAATTGATATTCATTGATAATTACGAAGTAGCGGATTTTCCATTCATATATAATATAAAAAAGTAAATCCCCAGACCTCGTAATAAATCTTATCTTATTAATATTATAAATAGAAATGTTTGTATATTTGTCGCTTATCCCAAAAGTCTGAATGGATTTGATTTAATCTGAAATATGATATATGGATGACGCACGTCCTGGATTAACAAATGTGATATTTTTTCCTAATTCAGATGAGCAATTTTTTTATGTGACAAAAAAATCTAACGTCATTGTAAAAAGGGTTGTGTCAAAAGGATTTGTTTAAATATTTAAATTAAAGAAGATCTTCATTTCCATTACATTGAATTCCTTTGGGTTATCTTTTCAGGTGTTTACAAGCTTATTATTATTGTCCCCTTTTTATTCATATTTTCATAATAACAATGAATATCCTAGATCTTGATAGTTAGATCTTTTAATGAAGAGTAAGCTGATAATACTTTTTGATTAACGTGCTATTACACTACTTTTAATATTAGTAAGACACAAGGAAAAATGTTCCGATAATCTATTTTCACACAAATTTAATTTAAATTGATTTTACTAATGATTTGATATTTTTAAATACTAGATTAAAAATAAAATAAACAGAAGTGTGGTAATTTCTAGTATTTTTATGTTTTTAGTTTCCATAAAAATATATTATTTCATGAATATAATAAATAAACGTTTGTATATTTATATGAATGTGGTCTATATATTAACATTATATAGAGGAAAGATTTGTTTGTTTATAATATATAAACACAAACAAAAACTCTTTCTTCTATAGAAAGTTATATTATCAGCGAGCAACATAGTAATATAAATTATTTTCAAAAATTCTATCTAATAAATAAAGTAAATTAATTTATAAAATAATGATATATAAATATACACTATTTATTATACTATTATTTATTATTTATTATAATATTTTTTAAATAAAATACTGTTGGTAAATATTATAATATTTAGAAACTTGTGACAGTCTCGGAAATAAACCGCTTCATTAAATCTAAAAATAAGCTTTTTTAATGTCACCTATTTTTAGATTTCATATACCTAAAATATTTTAAATTATTCGAATCGATCGTAAGTTAATATTGAATTTAATTTTGCTACATTATTTAGGATTAAATCGTTTACCAACCCTTGGAATTACACGTCTTTATCCGATTTAATCCCTTTGCCGATATTTGGATATATTTTAGGATTCTGTCATCGATATATAAGAATCTTAAGATATATAATAAAAATTTAAAAAAAATTTATTTAATTATAAAACGCATTTAATTGTTTTTCCTCCTTTCTGATATTCCAATGACATTTGTGTGTGTGTGTGTGTGTGTGTGTGTGTGTGTGTGTGTGTGTGTGTGTGTGTGTGTGTGTGTATGCCGAAATATAATTACGATTGTATAAATATAACATCTTATATCATGGGGGTTTGCAA